ATTATTTTCTTCTACTCAGAAAGATGAAGCACTAGAGTATGAATTCTGTGGTGTGAAGAAATGGCCTCCCGTCCCTGTCGTCTGCGTCCCTCCCATCCTACCCGTCTCAGGTGGTGCCATCTCTCCAGGACCCCACCACACACCATCCACTGCCCAGATTTCCCCAACAAGTCAGAAGGCACAGTAAGAACCAACCTCTCTGGCGCCTGAGTGCGCTCCAGCTATTGCTTTTCTCATCCATTGTGCCGAGGCGGTGCCAAGCCTCTGAAACAGGACCGGGCAATACCAGCGCGCTCTGCTCGCCCAGCCTGTGCCTCCCAGTCTCGCACCCCCGCTAACCTTCCCACTGCACAGTGCAACTGCAAGCCCCAGGACGACCCCCAAAGGAAGGCCATCTCAGTTCTCCCCGAACCGCGGTGCAACGATGGAAGATGGCGGTAGCCACATCCTAGGCCACGTCGGCTGGGCCATCCTCCTTGGAAGTGAAAGAGAGAACAGCTCCCTGGTGTTGCCGCCCTGGTCCTCCTGCGCGTGGGCCACCCAGGGACGGAGGAGCAGCAGCGTTGGCATTAGGGCGAGAGGGCAGGTTGTAGTCCTGGCCAGAGACCCAGCGCCGTGCTGTCTGCTGAGTCGGTGCCTTGAAGTGTGGAGGAACCTACGTACACGGAAGATAAGGGCACAAAGAGGGGCCCAGGCTTCCAGCTGGAGGTTGTGCACTGCCGCAGCGTGTCCCTACTTGGGCTGTCTCACTATTTGTTCACTCCTCCAGGCTCAGACCCTGAGCTCAGCGGCGCGGTGTCCATCTGCAGCCCTGCGCACCTGAGCGCTGCGGAGGAAGACTTCTAGAGGGTGGGCGCTTGATATCTGGGACCCAGAGATCACCCGAGCCTGATCAGACCTTCTCTGGTTAAGCATCAAGGGAACCCTCCTTCCGGAGAATCAGGGTTTGGCCTCGCCCTCCCCAAACAGTGTCAGATTATGCTCAGAGGCAGGAAACAAGACTGCAGATCCTAACTGGGCTGGAATGCGGGCCTGGGCTCGAGGCGCTTCCTCCCCTCCTCTCCCCCTGAGCCCAGAGAGTGATGCCAGACCCTGAGTTCTGCTGGGCCCACCTCGTCAATGTTTCCGTGTCTACCCCGCCGCCTGCCAGCCACCTCGTGTGCCTCCTGCTGGAACCGCCTCTTCTGAGCCCTTCTCCTTGCCACCCCTGGTGACCCTGCCTGATCAATGTGATTGCAGACTCCTCCCTGCCCAAAGAATTCTTTCCAGCCCTTAACTTGACATGCTTTCCAATGCAGTCCCAACCCTTCTTGGCCTCTGCGCTTTGTGCATCTGGCGAAAGCCTTACCAACTCGCCCATGCTTGAAGCTACTGCTTGCTTTTGATTTGCAGCCTGCATGCATTTGAAGGGATTTACCCTGAAAAGATTCAGGTTTTAAGCCTGGAAAGACGTCATATAGATACATTCAGAATTCCATGGTAGCACAGGCTCAGTGTTCCAAACGATTCCATTTGCAAAGATTTCTTTTACACACTATGTCCAAGAACTAAACTGAACAAGTGTCTAGCAAGCACCTACTGTGTGCAGGACAGGAGGATGGAAAGGGGAAAGTGCAGCTCCCAGCCCCAAGTTGGCATGATCTGAGACTCACTCTTCCCTCCCAGGAAGGGTTGTCCTGGGAAGAAACAGAGGAAGCTTAAGGATCCTGCCTTGCAGACGCACAGCTGATTTGAGAGAAATGACTTGCTCTGCACTGGGTCTTGCAGTCCACAGTCTCTTTCTACCTTGTTTCCAAAGACCTCACTCCTGAGAACCAGGGAGCAAAGACTACGCAACCAGGGGGTCGACGGTAACCTCCCTGCAGTGAGATCAGAGTCTCACCCTTTGCTCTTTGCAAAGCTCCTAAGTGGTTTTGTCATTGTGTGAACATCATAGAATGCAGTGACACAAAGCTAGAGGGTAGAGCCCCCATTGATGGGCCACCATCCTGGCACAGGAGTTCATGAACTGTTTGCTGACAGAGGTGACCTGTGGCTCTCCTTCCCATTACCTGGAACTGGAACTGGAGTTGCAACAAGCTTTTGGCAGCTTCCTCCTCACAGGCCTCTTGCATGGAAAACAGAGGAAGGAAACTTTCCCTGCTGCTCGTTTTGGGACCTTGGCTTCTGCCTACCAGGGGTTCCTACCTGCAGAGGATGAAGAAGCAGGTTCACCAAGGGACCCGGATGTCCCCAGGCTAAAGAAGGGGGCCATTGTCCAGTGTACAGTGGGTGAGTTTGGAGGTAGGTGAAGGAGGTCCCACAAGCACTGTGGACTCTATGACAGATGGAACTACATGGGCAGTTCCTTCCCATCCCACATCCTCTACTGTACCCTGTGTGGGGAGAAGCCCCGGCTGGGCATCCTGCCACTTGGCAGGGCTTTTCTCCCTCACTAAATACCCCAGCCTCCCATGAGTTGCCCAAAGCAGCTGTGTCCCCTCCTCTCTCTTGTCACATCAATCCCCCATG